GCGTGGGGCGCACATGCGCGCGTGCACGCGCGCACGACTGCTCGTGCGTTTGTCTCTTTGCCCAGCTGTTTGCTTCTGCCTGGCCAGGCCCTGCACTGCTGTGGTTCTGCATACTGTGTGCTGCTTTGTTTTTCTTCTTCTATCTCCATTCCTTGAGACATGCAGCAGGAGCTCCTCCCACAAGACATGGCCCCCGTGTTTCCGGTGAGTTTCTTGTTTTCTCTACACTACACATCTTTGACTGCAGCTGCTGCTTAACGAGCGACTTTGTCCTTTCTGCCGATGATTGATTCATAATAATATGATATATTACCTTCTGATGGATGGATACTTAGGCTCTAAACTAGTTCAGCTATGCTGCCTGCTAGTACGTGTACAAAAGTTAATTCAGCTATGATGCGTACGTGTACAAACGTTAATTGAGCTATGATGCGTAGGATGCAGTACACCACAGTACAAAAGGACAATAAAGGACTGCTTATATAATAGTAGGCCCTGGTAGGCTCCGTTGTTTGCTGCTTAAGACATTATATGAAGCTGTTTTCTTATGCACTTCAACTCATCATTGGCCTGGACAAAATTTCTGACAACCAATAAGTATATATATATACATGGTTATTACAGTTGGTGCATTTGTGGACTTCCTGTTCATTCCCTGCACTGTGCACCCTAGTGATTTATTCTTGGTGTATAGAAGTTGTGTGGCTTTTTTTTCATGCATCTTTTTTAAAATTGAGGTAATGTTCTATCCCCACCTCACGCCCCTCGCGTGCGTGGGCCCACACACACATGGTTATTTCTATAAAGAATGCGAGCTCCAGAATATAGCGAGGCATGCATATTAGGATTAAAAGTTTATCGACAGCTCGAGTCGTATAACTCATATTGCCTCCACTACCGAAGAAGATAAAATATATATTCATTTCATATTAGGAGGACAAGGGTTCATGTTCGACTTTGATTCTTTCACTGAATCATCTCTATCAGACCAGACATGGGTACAATACACATCATGTCCAAAAAGATACAACAGCCACATATCCCACTGCCTAAGGGACGGCACATCGGAGAAAAGGTGGAGAAAAAATGGAAAATAAATACGAATAACTCATGGTGAAATAAACGACTGATAGAATGTCTAGTCTACCAAGCTTTCTTGAGAGCAATATGCCATGAGCATGGGAGTTCCTTCCTAACTTCTACTTCTACTCTAAGTCCTAACTAACTGATGATACTTCCCTATCTAAGTGTGACTTCTCCATGCATCGACCCTTGACTTGATGGGTTCTATGGAGGAGAATGCAGCTTGGATCTCAGTCATGCCAGCAAAGGAGCATGACGATGCACCTACGGATGATGTAGAGCCTGGCTCTGTGCTCCTTCAGAGCTCTGCTCACCCTCCCCCCTTGCTTGCCTTGGCTCCTCACACTCCCCATTTTGCTTGATGAACTGAAGAGATGAGATGCAAGCAGGAGAGTTCGCTCTCTGTGTGATCAGATCCCTGGCTGGAGCTTGCTGTGGTATGGAACTGGGAAGGCCGGGGGCTGGGCTTTTATAGAGGAGGCAAGCATGCAGTGCCCCTCCTCCCATGCAACCGCGCTAATTCTCCATTTCCTCTTTTTATTTAATCTCAGGGGACAAATCTCTGCATCTGAATGTGGGTTATTGTTCCTGTCGCCGACAAAAAGCTTGATCTTATTGACGGATACGATCGTTTCGGATAACAGACAGCTCATCCTGCCGCATACGTGTTGAAATCTGCAGATTCAGTAGCGGTTCGGCATGGCTCCGATGAAGGTTCTTGGTATCTGGCACTACTGCTTGCGGCTGGTATCATAATTTATTCCCTTCTCTTTTTTTTTGCTTGTCTATCTTGGTACTTGGATATCTTACACCACTGTAATTTGTCTGTTTGATCTTCCTTGGGAGAACACTAGCGATCCTCTTGCATTGCCAAGATCTTCTTGGACTTGATTAATTAACAGTATTATGTGGTAGCAGTACTGTAGTATATCCTCTTGTCGGTAGATTGTGCCGGTAAAGAGTTGGAAAGAGTTTATGGAGATCTAATATTCAAGTATCTTGGAGATTTCCTTGTGTCGCCTCGATTTGTTCGGAAGCTGCTAGGAAGGATGGAATGAGTACTCGGATCATCCGTGCAGCCGGGGTATCTTTTGACTGGAAAGCACTTTTGAGTGTACTTATTCCGTATGATTAGAAATGAAAAAAAGCCCTCTGTGTGCGTGCTTTGGTTGAGGTGCTTGTCTTGTGGACATTGTAGCCGTTTGATGCTGCGCCCTTTACTGCATTTCCATGTATCTTGCCTAGTTTCTGGTCAAAACACAGGGCACTTTTTTGTGCAGGGGGTGTCTGCTGCTCCTGTGTGCCACTTTCTAGGGTTCTCCCCATGTTGATTTCTGAGCCTCTGTTAATATGCTATGGTGATACAGTAGTATTTTCTGCATCATCTATTAGATGATATGACTTAACTGTTGGTAAAACGGAAGTTCTGTATGTGCACTGTAACATATATATGCTTGGACTAACTTGTCTGGGTTTATAACTGATCATTTTTGGCACATGCAACATTTGTTGACATAGTGTTGAATCTTCTGCATGAGTGTCACTCAAGCATGTGACAAATGATGTCCCAGTGCTGGTCATGAAGCACACAAACACTGTCTCATGTTAACCAACATTTTTTTGCTCATGGTCAGTGAGTTGAATCTTGATATATATCATGAGCATCTTTATTTCTTCTGCTCACACCTTTGTCTGATCATTTGTAATATAATAATCACTATAGAACATGTTGACTAACTTGTTTCTCTAACAATATATAGAATCTGCATCTCAAGGAAAGAAAAAGCGAGCACATCTGTATTTGCAGGTATGAGCAAATATGATTCCATCAGTTTATTTTTAGCATTTTTTTCTTGAGAAAACGCAAAAGCCTTGCGTTTCGATCCATTGGTAGGAAAAGAAGAATTGTACAAGCCCTAAGAAGGGCAACATCCGGTGATTACAACACGACACCTCTAGTCACTAGACACTGCCACCGCCGGAAGCAAAGCCGGCAGACCTCTCGCACCTGCTGTTGCCCATTGCCTGGCTTCCCTCTTGAACGTGCCGAGGAGACAGGCTAAGCTGAGCTGAGTTGTTGAAGATGGTCGCGTCACGGTGCTTCCAGATGCCTCAGGCCACCAACGTTATGGCCGAGGCGGTGTCTTTCTGGACCGGGGTGGGGATGGAGCTGCAACTTTGTTGCC